AGGGTGGTTTTTAAATAATGACTCTTTGTTTGGTCTTGTGTAATTTAGTTACTCTGACACCAACATACCAGATGCAGAACATGTGCTGTGATGAGAGCCAATAACAGAAGAGAAAAATACTCAAACGACTTTAGGAGCAGCAAGAGTCAAGGACAAAGCCTGATTCTGTGCTGAGCAGGAATTTAAATGCAAATCAAGTTTGACATGTTCTATCAACGTTCTAATTCAGAAAATAAATTGTACTTAAGGTTTATCAAGGCACTGAGTGGAAGTGATCAGATTTTTTCAAACTTTATCATACTTTATCATGTCTTATATAACTGCTAATGCAATTGGAAAGTTTGTCCTAAAAATTTTAACTGTGGTAACTCATAAAATGTATCATCTTAAGTGTACAGTTCAGTAGTAGTATATCCATTGTTGTGTAATGAATCTCCAGAACCATTTCATCTTGCAAAACTGAAACTGTACCCATTAAGCGACCACTCCCCATTTTCAGCTCCTCCCGGCTCTGACAACTACCATTCTACTGTCTCTGTGTTTGACCATATACCTCATGTAAGTAGATTCATACTTAACAGTTACAGTATACTCTCCCCTCCCTTTTGTGCCTGGCTTATATCACTTTAGCATTATGCCTTAAGGTTCAATGTTGTAGCATGTGTTAGAAATTCCTTCCTTTTGGGGGCGCCTGGGTGGCTCAGTTGGTTAAGTGACTGCCTTCAGCTCAGGTCATGATCCTGGAGTCCCGGGATCGAGTCCCACATCGGGCTTCCTGCTCAGCAGGGAGTCAGCTTCTCCCACTGACCCTCTTCCCTCTCGTGCTTTCTATCTCTCATTCTCTCTCTCAAATAATCTTAAAAAAAAAAAATCTTAAAAAAAAAAAATTCCTTCCTTTTGGGGCGCCTGGATGGCTCAGTTGGTTAAGTGTCTGCCTTTGGCTCGGGTCGTGATCCTGGGGTCCTGGCATCGAGCCCCATATCTGGCTCCCTGCTCTGTGGGGGGCCTGCTTCTCCCTCCCCGTCTCTCATGAATAAATAAAATTTTTAAAAAGTTTAAAAAAAGAAATTTTTTCCTTTTTAAGAAATAATTCTTATTTTGAATATTATTATTTTTTAAGATTTTATTTGTTTCACAGAGAGAGACACAGCAAGAGAGGGAACACAAGCAGGGAGAGTGGGAGAGGGAGAGGGAGAAGCAGGCTTCCCGCCGAGCAGGGAACCCCATGCGGGGCTCGATCCCAGGACCCTGGGTTATCATCATTCAGGATAATATTGCATTGTATGGATATATCACATTTTGTTTATCCATTCATCCACTGATGGACATTTGGGTTGCTTCTATATTTTGGTTATTATGAATAATGATGCTATGAACATGGTGTACAAATGAAAGACCCTGCTTTTTTTTTTTTTTAAAGATTTTATTTATTTGAGAAAGAGAGAGAATGAGAGATAGAGAGCACAAGAGGGAAGAGGGTCAGAGGGAGAAGCAGACTCCCCGCTGAGCAGGGAACCCGATGTGGGACTCGATCCCGGGACTCCAGGATCATGACCTGAGCCGAAGGCAGTCGCTTAACCAACTGAGCCACCCAGGCGCCCGCTTTCAATTCTTTTGAACATATACCCCTAAAAAGGATTGCTGGATCACATGGTAATTCTATTTTTAATTTTTTGAGGAACCACCTTACTGTTTACCATAGCAGATGCACCTTTTTACATCCCCATCAATAATGCATGAGGTCGGGGCACCTGGGTGGCTCAGATGGTTAAGCCTGCCTTCGGCTCAGGTCATGATCCCAGGGTCCTGGGATGGAGCCCGTCTGGCTTCTGGCTCAGTGGGGAGCCTGCTTTTCCCTCTCCCTCTCCCCCTGCTTGTGCTCTGTTATCTCTGTGTCTCAAATGAATAAATAAAATCTTTAAAAAAAAATGCATGAGGTCTCCAACTTCTCTACATCCTTGCCAACACTTTTGTTTTTGATAACAACCATCCTGATGAGTCTGAGTTTGCCTTGAATTTTTGAACTGTAGAAATAGATGTGTATAAAGTAAGTGGGTGTGGTTTGCTAACATCTTTAGAATAGTATCTGCTACAGAGTAAATTCTATGTAAAATTTGTTAAATGCACAATCAGCAACGTTTGTAAGCTGTAAAGTTTTAATTATGTTAGTTGTATGTTCATAGGGTAATGTCTTTTTAACTAAGTTTTAAATAAAATGGGGCTTAAGTACCAAGAAGAGGCAATTCGAACTTTCAGGGAAGGCTTCCTTGTCCTTTGAGTTTGACAGATGAATAAAAGTTTAGGCACAAAATGGCATGCCATACAAAAGAGAGAACAGCATGTTCAAAGTCATGGGAATGTAAAAAGAAAAATTTAAGCAGTCTCATTGCAGGTGGCAAGTGAGATCAACCCAGTGCTGACTATTGCAAGTGAAGGTGGGATTTTGTTGAAATGTTAATTTTCTTTATATTAACTTAAAATTTGGTTTCATTTCCAGCACCAGCTGTTCTGCGTGCTTACGATTCACTGTTTCATGGCAGATTTTCTTAAAGACCTAATTTGAGGGCACCTGGGTGGCTCAGTCGTTAAGCGTCTGCCTTCAGCTCAGGTCATGATCCCGGGGATCCTGGGATCGAGCCCCGAAGCAGGCTTCCTGAGCAGGAAGCCTGCTTCTCCCTCTCCCACTCCCCCTGATTGTGTTCCCTCTCTCGCTGTGTCTCTGTCAAATAAATAAATAAAATCTTAAAAAAAAACAAAAAAACCCAGGTTGCAATAATAATCCCAAGTCCCGACCAAAAGTGATCACAACTGAATTGGAAACAGATACGCTATGAATGCAGGAACACTATATTTATTAGGTCAATAATTCATTTTTAGCAATACAAGTACAGAATATATCACAATGCTGGTTACAAACATACTTAGTATGGTTCAATGGTTACAAATAATGGTGGGCACTACAAGTTTGTGTTAAAAGGATGATATGAAAGGTCATTCTGACACAATGAACAATTGTCTTAAAAAAATCTCAATGACCCTAGATATTTCTATAGAAATTACTGTGGCACTATTAGTGGGGATTTTCATGTAAAGAATTGTTAGTAATTTGTTTCATTAAGAGCTCTTGAGCCTATTAAACTAAAATCCCCTGTTGCTTAATAAAGTATAAAAATAGTACTGACTTGGTAATATTTAATAAAAGGTAGCATTCATTCACATCATAAAAGTAGAACTAAACTGAAAAGTTTTAGTTACCATGGCAACATCTTTCCATAAAAGGAATATACAGAAATGAGTAATGTTACACAAACGGTACCTGCAACAATTATCTAGTGATCCAACACTTGTGCACCACAAACCAGGTTTTCTAGATATCTATATATAGCATATATTTTTAATCTTAAATTTTACTTTTGAAAAAAAATGTGCACTTCAACAAACTCACTAAGGCCACTCATGCTATAGATACCTAGGACTGCAATTAAAGAATAGTATTATTTAAGAAATCCTAAAGCACACTCCTTCAGATCACCGACAGGGTAAAACCAGTTTTCTGCCTAACACATTCCTGAGATTTGTGGGCAATACAACTACTAGTGTTCAAGCTGGAGATTAATCCAAATGTCAGATTAAAAAAAAATTTTTTTTTCCTAGCAAGAACTGAGGTCCTCCAAAGCCAAGAGGTGAAATATATACATTAATTTTTAAAGCAAAAATAAAACTCTTAAAAAAGTTCGTACTTATATAAATAAGTGTTTTTCCAGTAGTAACTTTGTCGTCCAGAAAAGGAACAGTTTGCAAGCAGCAAGGCTACAAATTCTGGGGAAAAAATAAAGACCAAGTGGCAGTTAAGAGTACCTGCTAACTAAGCAAACCATTGTTTCAATTTGTAAAGTATGGCCAAAAGCTTCCGCTGTGTTTTAGGTGCTGACTGTTGAGCACTGTGTGTGCATGTAAGGAGTTGCCAAATGGCACTCTACATTTATTTATAAGGTAGCAGCCTCTGTACTTAATTTTCACAACATTATGAACTCTTCCCAAACAGGCTAGGAACAAAGGCCTTTGTCAAATCTTTAATTTCACAAATTAATTAACCACGTACCTGCACACGGATTACTACAGAGCAACAGTGAGTTTGTTTTTTAACCAAGGAGAGACAGAGCATCAATGACAAGAAGGGTCCTAAAGCTTTGGGGACCCATAAAACCTGTGGTCTAAAAAACCCAATTGGTTCTATTACACTGGATGCAGGAGTGACTGACCATCTGTGTGGCACAGGAGAGCCCCCCGATGCACCCAATCTGAGTAGCACCAACGTTGGGAAAAAGACTGGGTAATAGAGAAGAAATGAAAGTCAGGGAAGGATGAGACCAAAGGCCCCTTATTTAACATTACTTTGCTGAACTTCCAGAAAAATCTTTAAGTTGGTCTAGGCTTCCTTACACATAACCCCCACCATATGTGAAAAGTCTGTGCAAGCTATTGGTTACTGTGAGGTAAATTTTATTCTTTTGAGATTCTTTTTAACCCCATAAAGTACTAATATTCACCTCTCTAAGCTACCCTAAACATCCCTAGGAATAAAGGATAAACCCCACACTTAGAATCATTAGGGTATTATTCTTCATTACAACCAGAATTAATAGCATACTCTTTGTTATATCATTAACAAGCTGTCAATCTCTTTTCTCAGCCTACAGTTTTTGCATTAAATCAAAGTGTACGGACTTATAGAAAACTACATTAAAGCAGTGGTAATAAAGGGAAACTACCAATGCTTTTTAGAAAAACTGGCTGCCACGTAACATTATCACCCTGTGATCGTAGGCTCCTAAATACCATGTTGTTTTATCACTGAGTGTGAGCTAAGTTGAGCTCAAATTGAATTAAGAGAGGATGAAGCCTTAAGTCATTTGCTTGATTTTATCCTAGGAAATGCTGTATGTGCACAAAACCAAAAGATACAGATTGATTTAAAAAAAAAACTTCATATGGAAACGTTAAGTTTCAAAATATTTATTGAAAAACAATTTACCATGACATTCCTATACCACAAACATACCACATGACTCTAAATAACCAACAAAAGTATACAAAGCCTATCCTGGAAATATCTTTGGAGGTATTAAATATATAGGCCTGTAAGGATAGAGCTGAGTAACTTAATAAATGTTAGTCCTTGGTCACACAGACTATTTGGTAATTAATAAAGAGGTGCCTCTTGGTGTTAGACTGCAATTAACTGGGAGGGGAGGTGCAGGTGTGCCAATGTACTCTTTTTAAAATGAAAAAGAAAATAATTCAATTTGAGGAATAAACCCAGGTTTTGAAATCATGGTTACAATATTAGGGTCTGGGCTTGCTTCATCTCTTTCTGTACCTCCCCCAGTCAATCCCCTCCTGGGGACTTAAAAACACTGGCTCATAACTAACAAGACTGAAAGTAACAGTTTTAAACAAGATTAGGTTTGGGAAGTTCAAAAAAGTGTTGAAAATCAAATTTACCTGAAATCTCCAATTAATTTTTCTGTACTCAATGTGGCAGTTTAGATTTCTTCCCCCCTCCAACCCCAGCGTGCATGTTAAAAGAAAACCAAAATTCAACACACATCCACTCACCCACAGACTACTCCAAGCATTAGCTAAGAGCAACATCTCTGACAGCCAAGTCATGAACCCCTGAAAATAGGGGGGAAAACCCTGATTCTTAACTATAGAGGCACCACATAGGCCACTATAGTAAGAACTGAGGTAACAGCAAAAGACCTTTTTGTTTCTTAATTGCTACATGTCACTTTCCAAATCTGAGTATTAATTACCTCAATATTAAATAACCTGACTGGCTTAAGATTACAAAAATCAAAACCCAATAAACAGGAAGACAAGTTAGTGAAACAGATATATAACTAGGGGATCTCTGCATTTGACTCTTGAATTTCAAATAAAATGACACAGCTGTACTATTATTTACCATAAAAATGAAGGATCTCTAAGAATTGCTTCTTTTGGGCATTCATTTTTCCATTAATCCCCACAAACCATATAGTAACCTAAAATTCCCACCCATGAGCTATTTCACGACTCTTAGCCAATATACTTGTTAATTGCATTGATTATTAGGGTAACATTTAAAATGAGGGGGATGGTTGCAGCAGATATTTATAGACTTGCTTATGGCATTGCCATCTGTGCACACTGACTAAAGATACACCATCGAAACTGCCAAATCTCCCTAGTTTGGTGTCTAATTACATGAATATAGTTTTTGCATTATCACTTTTCATTATACCTCTAAATGAAACATTCTACTGATAAAAGTATATGCAGGGGCTAAAATAATTACCTAAAGCCTCTGGTCCAAATAACCCCTTTCTACATTAGGCTGGTCCTTTTTAAGTCCTCCTGGTCCTGTTCGCAAACGCTTTCAGAGCATCTTGCATTGTTATACCAAAAAACCCTGAAACAAGCAAAGGGTTAATAAAACTGCTCGTCTGTCAGCTTTTCTATTACTTACAGATCAACACTGGTCCAGTTCAGATGAATCTGACAATCCTTCCCTGTAATAGAGCTCTGGAGTGGTTGTATCCACTTCTCTGGGTAAGGTAGCCAAACCTAAGTCAGGATGTCCCTCTTCTACTAGTACTGTGTTAACTTTTCTATACTGCATATAAAGATTTTCCCCATAAAATTTCTTTACAATACAGTATTGAATACCTCCACAAGGAAGAATATGTTAAAAAGTTGTTAAAATCATCCTTACATAATAAGAATGCAACTCTTTTAAACTCTTAAATAGTTTTATTTAGGGGTTCTTTTCAGGCTTTCTGCAAAATGAATTATTCTTTAAAATGGAAAAAAAAAAAGATTTCCTGTTGTTTGTTCTACTAGGTTGAAAATATGGGCCAGACTACTTATACATGCGGTACATGCTGAATATAACTGAATATATGCTTATTCCTACGGACACTCTGCAAGGTAGGGATCACCCAAATAGGGTCAATGGACTGGACCAGTGTTTCAATGCAAATTCCAGCCCCAAAAAACAACATGGTTTTGATTTCACAGTATGAATTCCCTGGAATCTGGGAAAAGGTAAATTAATTAACTGAGGTCCTCCCTCAGCAGCTCGGTCCCTCAACATTCTGAGAAATCAAGAAGGACTGCACCACTTCTTCAGTGGACTGGGGGCTGGTGTTGACATCTTCAAGAGCATCGGTCACCGAATATTGACGATCTCGCAACCGGTTCCAGTTAGACAGAACATTGTGATATTCAAACACTTTCTCATAATTTCCAATGGAGTTGTAAAGTTTAATGAGACCTCGGTAATCATATTCTAGTCCACTGTAGCCTTCACCAAACAGTTTCTTCCCTGAAAGTAAAACACACATACACACATGCACAAGGGAAAAAAAAAAAAAAAGAAAGCTCAAATAATGAAACAAGAGGTTCTTAAAAAAATAACACAAGTTCAATTCTTTAAATAAGGTGGCTTTATTTTATTTCCTAGGCTAAATGAGAAACTAATGAGATTGGGTACCCACAGACAAGATAAATATTAGAATTAAGAACTTCTGTTCTTTGAAAGGCACCATTTAGAAACAAGGAGCAGAGTGAGTTATCTCTCTTACAACATATATAACCAACAAAGGGCTTGCTGCATCCATAGTATATGAAGACCTTATATAAATCAATAAGGAACGACAGACAATTCAATATAAAAATAGGGAAGAATTTTTTTTTTTTAAGTAAACTCTACCCTTAACATGGGGCTCAAACCCATGACCCTGAGATCAAGAGTCACATGCTCTACTGACAGAGCCAGCCAGGTACCCCCAAAACAGGGAAAAATTTTAATAGGCACATTAGATGATGACTACAGTACGTTATTCTGTAATCTTATTTCCTGAAATGGAAACAATCCAAATGTTCTGAATGTCCATTAACATAGAATGGATAAATGATATACTAATCCAATAAAATATTATACAGCACTGGAAATTAATAAGCGATAGTGTTATGGAACGACACAGATGTATTTCACAATTCATGTTCACCAAAAGAAACCAGACATGTAAAAATATGCATTGCATGATTCTATTGGTAACATGTTCAAAAAGGGAGGTGGAAAGAGTAGTAACTACACAACTAGTTTAGAATAACTCCTTTTGCCTATACTTGACACTCTGCCTCAACAGTCACTTACTACTGGCTTCAACATCAATAAATCATCTTTAGCAAAATGTTTCAGATGGTTTTTGGGTGGCTTCTGGATATCCTTAGCAGCTCTATAAACTCATTTAACTCTTTGTAATTACACTTCCCTTACACAACATATAAGACATGTTGACATGTTGATACTATCAATTCACTAAATTTTAAAATAACATACCAATCGCTATGGATCGCAAATAAAGTTTCTCAGCATTTTCGTACTGATTCATGTCATAATTGTATAGAGAAGCCAGATGTCCCACTGAAAGGGCTACTTCATAATCTTCTTGACCAAGAAGTTGCTCTTTTATCTGAATTGCTTTGATATGCATTTCTTCAGCTTCCTGAAAAATAATTAAGCTGTTTTAGCCATTACATTATACTCTCATATTAACAATTCTCAGCCAACGAGTAAGACTCTTCTAAATGCCAAGACATAGATGGCATAAGATAATCAGATCAGAGGACATACTACGTTAATCCAAAAGCTGCCTAGGGGAAGATTACTAGTTTGGGAAGCCATGCACACAAGCTGATGACAGTGAGTATCCTATGCCAAAAATGATGACAAAATCTGTCCTGGTAATAAAAAATTGTTAGAAGAAATTAACATCAAAACTTTCTAAAATGACAATTATTTCTTTGTTAACATGCTCCAAAATTTAAACCTTGTTAAGAAACTTCATACTATCGTATGTTCAGTTATATAGGTATACGCTTTATTTTTTGGAATTTTGACAATAAAACTCAGGTTAATTGAGGGATATGTAATGGATTTTCAGGTAAAAAAAGAATGTCTTAGGCAGTGACTCTCATCCTTTCCTTACTGTGACCCCAAAATGAACAACATTAAGAATTTATAACCCAGGGCGCCTGGGTGGCTCAGTTGGTTAAGTGACTGCCCTCGGCCTCAGGTCATGATCCTGGAGTCCATGGATCGAGTCCCGCATCGGACTCCCTGCTCGGCAGGGAGTCTGCTTCTCTCTCTGACCCTCCCCCCCCTCTTTTGTCCTCTTTCTCTCTTCTCAAAAAAATAAAATCTTAAAAAAAAAAAAAAAGAATTTATAACCCAAAATTTTAAAAGAGAATTCAGTAAATTTTTATCACCACAATTAATAATACTTGCAATATCTGACATTTCTTGCATACCTACCATGTGCCAGACATTATGCTAAGGGCTACTTTTTTTTTTTTTTTAAAGATTTTATTTCTTTATTTGAGAGAGAGAGAGAGAGAGTGACCGTGAGCTGGGGGAGGGGCAGAGGGAGAAGCAGACTCCCCGCTCAGCAGGGAGCCCAAAGATCCCAGGACCCCAGATCCCAGGACCCCGGGATCAAGGTCTGAGCTGAAGGCAGATGCTTAACTGACTGCACCACCCAGGCGCCCCTGCTAAGGGCTACACTTAACATAACTAACACTATGTTGTTGTTGTTGTTGTTTAAAGATTTATTTTTAGAGACTGAGTGGGAGAGAGAGACTGTGTGTGCGCACATGTTGGGGGAGGGACAGAGGGAGATAACCTTTGAGCAGACGCCCCACTGAGGGGGGAGCCCAACTGGGGTTCGATCTCACAACCCATGAGATCATGACCTGACCTGAAACCAAGAGCTGGATGCTCAACTGACTGAGCCACCCAGGCGTCCCCCTTTCTTTTTTTTAAACTTTTTATTTATTTAAGTAATTTCTGCACCCAACGTGGGGCTTAACTCACAACCCTGAGATCAAGAGTCACATGCTCTTCTGACTGAGCCAGACAGGTGCCCCGCTAGTAGCTATATTTTAAGTCTAACTATAATAACCGTATCAGCCTTTGTGGTTTGATCTTATGTCTTATTTTTCCATGGTTTGGATTTTGAATTTTATTTATATTTTGACTCTGTTGTTTTATACTAGCTATTTTCTCAATTCTTTCATGGAATAAGGTAGGAGTATAATAAATGTACACTTTATTACTGAAGGTTACTGAAGATGTATTATTTTTTTTTTAAGATTTTATTTATTTGACAGAGAGAGACATAGCAAGAGAGGGAACACAGCAGGGAGAGTGGGAGGGGGAGGGGAGAAGCAGGCTTCCCGCAGAGCAGGGAGCCCAATCGGGGCTCGATCCCAGGACCGTGGGATCATTACCTGAGCCGAAGGCAGACACTTAACGACTGAGCCACCCAGGCGCCCCATGAAGATGTATTATTTAAGATTATACTTTACTACCTAAAATTATTTAGTGAGAGAAAAAGATAGTAAAACATGCTTGTACCTTAAATTTTCTCATTGACTGGTAAAGTCTTCCAAGGTTTCCATAGTGTTTTGCAGTCTGTACATTAAATTCCCCAAAAGCTTTTTTAGCTAGTTGAAGTGAAGACAGGTGCAAATCATGAGCTTCTTGAAGCAGCCTCTGTTCAGTTTCTTTATTATGACAGTCGATTGCAATCTCCTCTAAAATAAGGGCTGATTAAGAAAGCAATAAAATTAGCATACTTCCAAACCATCTATCAAAGCTAATCAGAGCATATAATTTAAAATTAAATTCTATAAATGTTTGTGGTTATGGATTAGAACTGGTAAAGATGAATTCCACGATAATGAAAAAATATACTTCTGGGGGTCATTCTAGTTTGCATAGTATAATGAACTTCAAATTTAAGAAAAACAATGGTATACATCAAATATTTTGCAGAATTTCTACTTTACTAGACTATTATATTTTGCTGATGTGAATTTCTTATTGAAAGCAATGTAAGACAAGGCAAAGGCAAAATTTTAAAGTTATGAAACTGTGTCAAGGAGTACCTAAGCACTGTTGAACATTTTGAAACCACACTATAAAATACAACCTTTAACCAAATACAACTAAAAGAACTGGTTTCCTCCTACTAACTTGACCAACCAAATCAGGCAAGAAGACAGCGCAATTTCAAAGTCACATAAAAGACTTTCAAATTCCATTTAAAGTCTTAAAAATACATATTCTTTTACGAAGTAATTTTATTTCTAGGAAAATTGTCCATATGCACAAAAGTAAAAGAGGTTTAGTTTAGCGTTTTTAAAGAATAAAAGGATATATATCCATATGTACTGCAATGAAAAAATGTCCGTAAGGTATTAAGTGAAAAAAGCAGAATATAAAACTAAAAAAATTCATTCATTCCATTATTGGGAGAAAAAAAGCCAAAATGCTGAATCTGGATTGGTGGGATTTCAGGTGACTTAATTCATTATTTTCTCTTTTCTCTCTAACTTTTAATTTTTACAACAATTATGTATTACTTGTTTAACTTAAAATCCAAACCCAGAGGGGGGAAAAGAACCAGTTCAAGAATTAAGGTAAAATTTCTCCAGCATGCATGGAATTACCACATGGGTGACCCAGTGATGTTGGCAAATAAATGCTTTTTAAATTAAAGGGCTTTGGTAGTGATTAGAAGAAAAGAAGAAAGTGGTATTTGGTAAGAGCCTTGCAACATTAAGGGTAACCTGATACAAAACTGAGTTTCAAAATCCTGCACTATAAAGCTGAAGGTACGTGAAAAACCTGTTACTGTGCAATAATCATGTTATTCTTTCTTTCATCCTCCCCTCAAAAGAAATGAATGAATGAAGGCATTACAGAGAGGAAAAGGGGGTGAGGGGAGGAAGGAAGAAGAAAAAAAAGCGACAAAAGATATTCTGGCTTATTAACAATGCTATATGAGAGAAGCTAACCTTTTATTATGAACCACTGGAAATTCTTAAGTAGAGTTATAGGCAGATACTTTAAATCAGTGACTTGGCTACCTTAGTAATATGCAGATATAGTCTAATCCTATGCTACTACCCAAAGAAATAAACAAACAACCCTATTTTAAACTATGTATCATTAAAATATATGAGGCTAGACATCTAGTACAACTGACAGCAAAAGAAATCTAAAAAACATATATATACAGGTATACTGGAGACTAATTGCAAAGGGTACCTTTCACCCTCTTTGAAGAAGCCAAAAGAAGATGATCTTCAGGTAGGATGTGGGTAATGATACCAATAGCTCTTTCGGCATGAAATCTGTAATATAGACAAATATATTCTGGCATTTCTTTTTAGTTATAAATAATTACAGCATTTTAAAAAAACCCTTACAACTTATAATACTGATGGAATTTCTAAACCTATCTGTGGTAAAGGTACTGTTTTTTGTTTTTTAAATTTCTAATCTGTTGTGGACTGAACTTTTAAAATATCCACTGGATTTCTATCTCCTACAGAATAAACTGTGAAGTTGTTATCACAGCCTACAAGTCTCACCATGTTCTTTCCCCCGCCACCTGTCTGACCTCATCTACCATTCTCAGAAACAGCCCTCTCGGGGCGCCTGGGTGGCTCGGTTGTTAAGCATCTGCCTTCGGCTCAGGTCATGATCTGGGGGTCCTGGGATTGAGCCCTGCATCGGGCTCCCTGCTCCGCAGGAAGCCTGCTTCTCCCTCTCCCACTCCCCCTGCTTGTGTTCCCTCTCTTGGCTGTCTTTCTGTCAAATAAATAAATAAAATCTTTAAAAAAAAAGAAAAGAAAAAGCCCTCTCCTTCTCCTCCAGCCATAGGCCTCGCAGTTTTCTGAACATGCAAAGCATACTCTCACCCAGGACTCTTGCACTTACTTTACCGTCTCTTTGGGATACTATCCCCCTGAATATCCACCCACATGGCTCACTCTTCAATGAGAAGCCTTTCCAGACCAGCTTATACAAAAGTCCCTAAAGGGGGAGCCTGGGTGGCTCCGCTGGTTCAGCGACTGCCTTCGGCTCAGGTCATGATCCTGCAATCCCAGGATCGAGTACTGCATCAGGCTCCCTGCTCAGCGGGGAGTCTGCTTCTCCCTCTGACCCTTCCCACTCTCATGCTCTCTTTCATTCTCTCTCAAATAAATAAATAAAATCTTAAAAAAAAAAGTCCCTAAAAAATTTACCACAGTTCTTTACTCTTAGTTTACCTTAATCTTCTTCACATATATGTGTTCTCAGCTGCTATGTCTAGTTACTTGTTTATGGCCCATCTCACCAAACAGAAGGTAAGCTGCCTATTTTATCTACCAGTTTCTTTCAAGTAACTCCAAGTCTTCTATCTCCATCTGCCAGGTAATTATTAATTTTCTCAGATCTGTTTTCCAGTTCACTGTTTCTTTAGTTGTGTCCAATGTGCTGTTTAACTTGTCTACTGAGTTTTAATGTAAATGACTATTTTCTAATTCTAGCTACATTTTATTTGTTATAACAGCTCTTACTGAGATATAATTCATACCACACAAGTCGCCCACTAAAATGTACAATTCAGTGGTTTTTAGTATATTCACAGAGTTGTGCACCCATCATCACAAGCAATTTCAGTGTATTTTCATGACCCTAGAAAGAAACACTGGCCCATTAGTAGTCTCTCACCATTTTCCTCCAACCCTATGAGCCCATGGCAACCACAAATTTATTTTCTGTCTCTCATACATTTGCCTATTCTGGGCATCTCAGAAAAAAGGAATCATACAATATGGGGTCCTTTGTAACTAGCTTCTTTCAATTAGCAGAATGTTTTCAAGGTTCATCCAGGTTGTAGCATGTATCAGTTATTTTATTTTTAAATCTGCCCTTTACCCCCCTTTATTTTCCCTCCAAAATATTACTGATTCATTCTTTTACATCAGTGTCAGCAAATTTTTTCTGTAAAGGGCCAGATAGCAAATATTTTAGGTTGTGTGGGCCACACACTATCTCAACTACTCAACTCTCCTGATGTAGCATGAAAGCAGCCATAAACAATACATGAGTGAATGAGTACTGCTATGTTCCAATAAAATTTTACTTTCCCTAGAGGCCACAGTTTGCTAACCCATTTTATATGCTTAATCATTTAAAGATACTTACTTTATAGCATCAACCAAGAAGTTCTGTTAGCCAATATTCTTTGGGTTCTAATCCTGTTTGTTATTTCTGCTGATTCTCATTAATAGAGGAAATGTTTCCTTACTTTATTTTGAAATTTTTTAATGGTGAGTTCATCTTAGGTAGAGCTAGATCTATGGGAAGTCTGTTTGGTTTGGGTTGAGAATTTCCAAGAGTTTTGCATTTTCTCCCAAAAGGCTTCTCAGGAGAAATAGCAGTCCCCAAGAGCTTTTTAATGTTTTCCTCAGTTTGGGGATTCTTTTTTTTTTAAAGATTTTATTTATTTGGCAGAGAGAGACACAGCGAGAGAGGGAACACAAGCAGGGGTAGGGAGAGTGGGAGAAGCAGGCTTCCCACTGAGCAGGGAGCCCGATGTGGGGCTCGAACCCAGGACCCTGGGACCATGACCTGAGCCAAAGGCAGACGCTTAATGGCTGAGCCACCCAGGTGCCCCTGGGGATTCTTGAATACATGATGCAATTATAAATTCCACTGTGAGGCTGTTTTTGGTTAACTGAGAGCCCAACCTGAGATGAATGAGTTTCCTTGTCCTCTTTCTTGCCAGTGGGAAATTTTTTGTTTTCCTCCTAGTCTTCCCTTTCCCTGATGGTGCAGGCTTGATCTTGACTTCAGGTGAGGGTTTCAGTTCTAACTCATAGTTTCCTGTGGACTAAATGCCTTATCTCATAAACCCAGGATTATTGTCCAACCAAGGTTTACACAAACTACTAAGCTTTCCCATCACCCTAGGGCAGTTATACCATATAGTTCATGCCTACCCTATTGGATTTTAGTCCATGAGTGGCCCTTGGGGTCTTTCTTTCTCTCCTGCGAGCTCATTTATGCATTTACAAAGACAACTGTTATATTTTACTCAGTATTTTTGCATATTTTGAGCAAAATGTTTTCTGGTTAAGTTTGTCATTTAGCCAGAGGCTACTATACTACCCAAAGAAAAATTACTGAAGTATTCAGAAGATAAGCCATATTCCTTACGAAGATATATAACTCTCAATATTAAACCACATAACATCTAAATAAATGGCTTATAAATTGGTATGATTTTAAATGACTTCAAGAACAGTTAAGGCATCTTGTTAAAGCTCCAGAAGACAAATTTAATCTATAAATACATTAAATACTATTGCATTAGGAAAAACAATAGCAACACCATTTAATCGCTCACTGAAAAGGAACATGGAACTTACAGTGCATTGTCAAATTTCCCAGAGCTATACTGGTGAACATAAGAAGAATAAGCCAAGTCTTCATGAGCTGTTGCTACATGAATATTTTTGCCGCCGAACACTGACTGCCGAATGTCAAGGGCTGCCTGAAAGAGTCATGAAAATTATTATTACTATAAATCCTTAGATAACACTACCAGTAATACTAAGCATCCTAGTAATTTAAATATATGTTCTATATATCAATACCATCAGTTTTGAAGCAAAAGTCCTGCTATATTTAAATCACACAAGAACATAAAAGTCACCAAAAGGCCTGGTTTTCTGAAGACTGAATCTAACTTAAAAGACAATGGTTTCGTAATAAAAATTATTCATATGTCTGAGAATCACAGCAGTGTTTTTCTATGTCCTTCTTTATAAGTGAACCATAAAATCAAGGATACCTTGTCCAGAGTGACGGTGTAACACATTTACCTAAGAATGACTAATGGGAGGCCTAAAATAATTGTTATCAACCCTCCTTGCTATCACAAAGAACAGCTATAATGACTCATGCTAAATCAACAATGAAGATAGGTCGTCCTCTGGGCAAATGAAAAATGGAAAATTACTCTTATATATGAGCCCACAAGCCAAAAATTCTTTTCCTCAATGGTTTTCTGTAATTCCTACAACATTTACTTCTAACCCTTCTACATGTTATTTAGTAAAAGAATGTTGTCCCATATACGAGGAGGGGTTCAGAAAGAGTTGTTCTTAGAGAGTGGGTTATACACCGCAAACAAATACAGGTTAGCAAGTCAATTCAGGTTGAAAGAAAAAAAGTGTTAACTGTTAACATACCTGATAAATTGCAACAGACTGACAGATATTATCTACATTGAGTAAGTAGAACCCATAATCTAGCAGTGTATCAGAATATTTTGGGTGTTTGGATCCAAAATGATCCCTATAAAAAGATATAAAACTATTAGGATATAAAGTAGAGAGAGACAATTTGAAATGGTATTTTTAGTAACAATCACCTACCGTGCCAAATACACTGCATGTTTAATTAACTGTTCTGCTTTCTTAAATTCACGTTTTACAACACAAGCCTAAGGATAAAGTGAAAAATTATTAAGTAACTCTCAAACAGTTAATTAGTGTGCTAAACTAAGTACAGATTATATAGTCAGACTATGATTATAAAAATAAAAATCCTCAAACATAAATATAAGGGTTCTATTTGTAATTTCTTCCCTTCCAAGTATTCGAAAATTCTATTATAAACACATCTGTACATATCCTGGGAAATTATAAAGTTTAAAATCTTGACATTCATGCCCAATACAAACCTGTTATAACAAAGTTACCTTACAAAGCTGGTATACTCCCATCATTCCAGATTATATAATAAGTAAATGGGGGGAGGGTTCAACATAGCATTTTCTAAGCCACTTATTTATATCCTAGTTCTAGAGTGGCTTAAGTATCTTGTAATCTTCATCTGTTTTAAAATGCACAGAATTTCAAGTTTTCCTAGTCTTAAAATATTTTGATTCATGAAAATAGCCAGTAGTTTTCAAACTCTTAAATATTATCTGCATATAAATATACAAATCTTGCACATAACTGTCTTTATATTAATGGTATATCGAACGTCTTAAATTAATTAAAAACATATTAATATCTCTCTTCTAGCTCTGATAATCTGAACAGTTATGCTATGTACTTGTCTAAAATAACTTATCTAGGAAGTTTCACAGAAATCTTAGACTCTTATAAACCTGTAATTTTAGAATCTTTCTTCTAATTAAAATTTCCATGATTAAAACCAACCAAAATGAAATATTCAAAATCAAAAAAACTCTGGGTAGAAAGAATATATTTGAAAAGCACATCAATGTTTTAAAGCCTCAGTACACCAAACCAGCAATTTAAAAATAAATGGCTTCAGAGAGTGAATGCATTTATCTATAGAATAAGAAGAAACTAAAGGGAAAATCAAGTGTCACCCAGCAGCTCAAGAACAGGAATCTGTGACACCGTGAGGCTGCAATGCTATCACTCAAAGATTAAATACTAGGCTAGCCTTTAGGACGAAAATGGCCAAAATCCATACAATTGTGGCATGAGGAATTCAGGTTGCTGGAAAGGTTAAGAAAAACAAAAGCAAACTCAAGCTAGAATAGCACCAAAATACTGCCTCAATCTGTAGTTCAGTAAGCTGAGTTATCAAAATGATATTTTTCATGGGTTTTCTGGGTATAGAAAAATTAGCTCAATTCTATATGTAGATTTCTAAATCTGATTTCTACAACTGAGCAGAGAAACTCAGAAAATAAACCTTGTGAGTCCATGGAGTACGCAGTATCTAACTTGTTAAATAACAGGTTAATTAAGACAAATTTAAAGCTTGCTAAATCCTATAATACATTAATAATTTTATTATATTCACCTTAGAAGCTTGTCTTAAAACATCCACCACAACTTTGACTGGTAAGCCCACTGTGATTTCTTTCATTGCCTCGATGCACCATTTGTAAGCCTAAGAAAATATTTAAAGAGCAAAAACTGATAAATCAAATTGACAGTATTTAATGAAATGACTGTGTATCTTTCTCCCAAACTTTCAAGTACCTGAATAAGAATACACACGAAGTATTTACACTTACAATTTTCTGAGACTAAGTTTTCTTGAAAGTGTAAGTTTGTTATACTTTCTTTGAATAAGTGACACACAGGAAATCAGGGGCATGTTCTCTCTTGCCCACAGCCTTTGCATATACTGTTCCCTCTGCCTTATATACATTCCTCTTTCCTGAACTAAATCCATATGACTTATTTTCCAGGTTTCAGCCCTAGATTAGGCTTCCTGTACTTTCTTCCCCTACTGTAATGCTTATTATTTTTTATCTTAATTGCCTGTTTGAGTGCTTACTTTGTGAGAGTTATTGTTCTAAGCACTTTATGTGCATTAACACATTTAATTGACACACCAGTCCTATGAGATGCATACTATTATGGAAAACAGAGGTGCAGAGAGGTTAGGTACCAGGTAATGTGCTAGCACCTAGGTTATCTACTGGGAAATAAAACATAGTATGTGTCAAAGAAAAAAAAAAAAGGAAAACAAATTACTTTGGATAGTAAGAACTATTTCAAAGAAATAAAACATAGGGGCACCTGGGTGGCTCAGTCAGTTAAGCATCTGCCTTTGGTTTGGGTCATGATCCCAGGGTTCTGGGATCAAGCCCCGCATTGGGCTCCCTGCTCAGTGGGGAGCCTGCTTCTCCCTCTCCCACTGCTCTCTCTCTCTGTCAAATAAATAAATAAATAAATAAATCTTTAAAAAATACCATAAAAGAGTCATAAAGAATGGGGGAGGGGAAAGGAAAAATTAGAAAATAAAAAACAAACATCTGTTTTCCTCTGCAAGCTTCCTTCTCTTCCATTCCACCTAAAATATTCAGAAGAAATTTTGATGTAAAAATGAAATGTATGTGATTTAGGCCAAAAAACCTGGTTTGTTTTTGATGTTAAATAAGCAGATTTTGTTCCAGAGTAGTAAGTTAAAATCTTTAGAACTGTAGTAGACTGTAATACTTCTTTAAAATATTTACTTCCTTGGGGAAGGATATACTTCCCTTCCACATCAAAGCTGACAGTGGTCAAGTGATGTCCTTTGGTCAATTAAAAAGTTAATTGAGATATGAAAGTGAAATGAGCAATTTCTGGGAAAAATCTCTAAGAGCAAGCAGTACTTCCTCATGATGTTTTTGCCTCTACTCTAAGGTTGGTAATGTTTTAGATGGAGGATGCTGCATCACATGGTGTTTTGATCAAAGTGTAAACAGAATGTTAAGCAGAGCCACAGGCATCCCAAGAAAGGATGTAGCATGAGTAAGAAATAAACTTATTTTTCCATGTCACTACTATTTTGTCAGCATAGCCTCGGCCATGTTAATATCAAAATATGGTGATAATTCATCAAACTATATCCTCAATATTTGTGTACTTTTCTGTAGCTATCAACGACAAACTTATTTATATATATTTTTATTTATTTATTTTTTTAAGATTTTATTTATTTGACAGAGAGACAGAGCGAGAGAGGGAACACAAGCAGGGGGAGTGGGAGAGGGAGAAGCAGGCTTCCCGCTGAGCAGGGAGCCCGAAATGGGGCCCGAACCCAGGCCCCTGGGATCATGACCTGAGCCAAAGGCAGATGCTTAACGACTGAGCCACCCAGGCGCCCCAATTTATATATATTTTTAAAAGATTTTACTTGTCAGAGAGAGAGAAAGCACAAGCAGAGGGAGAAACAGGCTTCCTGCTCAGCAGCGAGCCTGATGCAGGGCTCAATCCCAGGACCCTGGGATCATGACCTGAGCTGAAGGCAGATGCTTAACCAACTGAGCCACCGAGGCATCCCGAATCTTATCTATATTTAAAATAAACTATCTGGGGCGCCCAGCTGGCTCAGTCGCTAGAGCATGTGACTCTTGATCTTGGGGTCATGAATTCAAGCCCCACACTGGGCACAGAGTTTACTTTAAAAAAAAAAAAAAAGGTGAGTTCTATGCATAGATATATAAAGATGGTGGGGTACCTGAGTAACTTTTAAGGTTGGCATTTCTAAAAAACTGTTGTATATCGTACTTTCATTTCCAGTAAAGTCAGCTATCCACACAAAGGCCTTCTGTGAATGGGGTTCTTTGTTCTTGGTGTGTGAAAATAAGAGGTTGAGTTCTGTATTTGGGTTGATAAGCTATGGAACAACCACTGCACAGAAGGGGCAGCAAAACAATCCATCAACAGAGCTAATTCAGCAGACATAGGAATTCATCCTCAAAAATAACCAGAAGAACATACCTAACACCCCCCTAAGAAACTGTAGGCATGCTGATAAGGATTTTAGATTTTTATATATAGATTTGATGCCTTCTTATATGGATATTAAGGATGATCCTAGCATCAGGGTTGCACAACATCACTTTTATAATCATTCTAGGATTTTCTAGTTTTACCTCTAATTATAATTTTCCTTTAAATAAGGAATATTAATGAGGCAAAAATCAAGACAGGGATAATTATAAAATATGAAAGCTAAATAACATCTATGTGGCAACATAAAATAATTATGATATTCTTCCATAAAGAAAACAACCAAGTAAAGGAGTTAAACAGACATAGTTCACTTCTCAACTATATATTCATTAGCACTGAAGCATGAAATTAATAGCATAAAGACAGGAGTGAAGCTATCTTTCTTGTAAGGGAGAAGCAGGAGCAAAACAATGCAAAAAAGTATAAACAAAATCTAGCTTCCCATTAAAAGGAATGCCTTCAGGTCTGAGAGTTCACCCAGAGCTACACATCCAATAAAAAAGCATCTATTAAGGGTTCATTTGACAGAACATACCCATGAAAATAATTCAGATATATATTTGGTCAAATTAAAAGAAAAAAAAAAAACAGGCCATAAACCATACATGTGTATGTTTGAAATACATCTCATGGTATACTCTTTTTGCCTCATTTTAAATATTCCATTACAAATGTGTAGTGCTTTAAAGTAAACCTGACATGTGAGAATAAGATCTATTAAGACAAATAGAAGATGTATGATTTCTTTTTTTATATTTTTTATTTCTTTTTTAAAAGATTTTATTTATTTATTTGACGCAGAGGGAACACAAGCAGGGGGAGTGGGAGAGGGAAAAGCAGGTTTCCCGGCGAGCAGGGAGCCCGATGTGGGGCTCGATCCCAGCACCCCAGGATCATGATCTGACGCATAAGGCAGATGCTTAACAACTGAGCCACCCAAGTGCCCCCCCCTTTTTAAAATTGAGGTACAGTTGACACACAATGTTATAGTAGTTTCAGGTGTAGAACAGAGTGATTGGACAATTTTATACATTATGCTATGCTCACCACAGTAAGTGTAGTTACCATCTGTCACCATACATTATTACAATATTATTGACTATATTCCCTATGTTGTACTTTTCATCACTATGACTTATTCTGTAACTGGACGCTTTGTACCTCTTAATAGCCTTTACCTACTTGATCCATCACTTCCTGCTCAGGTTGTTCTGTTTTTTTTGTTTATGTTTTGATTTTACCCTCTGTTTATAGCTACTTGCTGATTACAATAAAATGCACTTCAAAATACTCACCTCATCATAGTGACTTTTTGCAAAGAGTAGTGCACACAGTTCTCCATATAGTGCAGCTTTGTTTGCTTGCTGGCCATGTTTTGAAAGTTTATCCATATATGTCTGAGCTAACTTAAATGTTTCTTCACCCAAGTGATATTTGCAGTTTCCATTTCGCACATGAAGCAACCTGCAAAAGCAGAAATAACATTCCTCTATTTCTGATATTTCCACCATGGTCCTCTTACAGATCACTACTTAGTACCCAAATGAGTTAAGGAAACTAGATGCAAAAAGGAAGGTAGCACTGGAAAATAATGGTCTGGCCCAAACTGAGATTGACTAAAACACATAATGAGTATATGCTCTTTCCAGAAAACTACCCATGATTAATCTCACCCAACTATGATTCTTTTTCTTCTTTAAATTTTTGTATACTTTGTGCACTCAGTATGTGCTACATCTAATACTTAACTTTTTGTTCCAAATCGAAAAGATTGCAGTCTCGTTATAAAAAAATTTAGAAAACGATGAAAAAGGGCGCCTGGGTGGCTCAGTCATTAAGCATCTGCCTTCAGCTCAGGTCATGATCCCAGGGTCCTGGGATCGAGTCCCACATCGGGCTCCCTGCTCAGCGGGAAGCCTGCTTCTCCCCCTCCCACTCCCCCTGCTTGTGTTCTCTCTCTTGCTATGTCTCTGTCAAATAAATAAAATCTTAAAAAAAATTAAAAAGATGAAAAAAATAAAATCAACACCAAATACTATTACCTACCATTACTTTCCATTCTTTTTTCTAGTATATTTGTGCAACACCTGATCAGTAACCTCATCTCATGTTGCTTCATAAATGCTCATTTTTTATCTTTCCAGTAAGGTAAGTTCACTGAAAATAGTGGTATTGTCACCTATTTCTTTTAAAACCTTTATCTTCTATGGTGGAAAAATAAAGAGTTTTTCATGCAGAGTAACTGTAAAACCATGTTAGACTATATAATGATATGCAAGAGTAGTAAAGTAAAACCACGTTAGACTAATGATATGCAAGAGTAGCAGGTCAGACTGTGATACCAACAGACTATATACATCTGCAGAGGCTATGTAAAACAGAACAGTAAGGACCAGACATGTATTTATGTATCTATTATAATGCTGGCTAGAACATTATGTGCATGTTATCATGTCAATACAATTTTCTGAAAATGCTCAGCCCTGAGGGGGAAAAGGGTATAAAAATCATTTAAAAGAAACTGATTATGGAGAATCTGGGAAGCACTCTTTAGGAATATAAAAAACAGATATTTATTTTTTTTCTATCTACACCAAAAACATTAACAGATCAATGACCCAGGATGAGAAACATCTAACAATCTTCAAATCACTATCATTTCTTTGTACAGTCAGGGAAAACAGATGGAATAACTTCAAATGAACTGAGACTATTCAATAAGTGGCAGATACAATGCCAGTGTGCCTCCTTCCAACACTCACAGTTATCTGCTTTTAGAAAAGACTAAAACACCCTCAAGCAAAATAATATACTAAGGCTAACCAAAAATTCTGAATGGAGTATCTTTTACATTACCAAATTCCAAATTAAAGCAGAAATACATATAGTAATTTTCAGGCTACTCTAGAATGGTGAGTTGATTGGATTCCTATTTTTATGCAGAAATATAATAGAAAAAATGTTTTGGTATACAGAAAATTTTTCCTGCTAAAATAAGTGTACTGGTATAGAATAAAGAAAAAATGTCACTTGATGGTCGAATTGCTGATTTAATAACCAAGAAGTCTGCAATGATCTGTCACAATGGGAACCACGTGTAGGAAAATAGAACTGAAATCTAGGAAAAGATTACCTGAAAAAGAAATATGTAGTTCATATGATAAAGTTTTGAAAGACTCTTACAGTCAATTATTGACTGAACACCTATAATGTACCAGTCATTTTTCTAGGTGAAAGGGATGTAGTGGTAAATAAGACCATAAGAAGCTTCACTCTAGGGGGAAGGAGTATGAGGGTAGGCAGACAAACACACCAATAAGTAAGACTTTCATTTAAAAGTAAATGCTATGGGGGCACCCGGGTGGCTCAGTAGGTTAAGCAGCTGCCTTCAGCTCAGGTCATGATCCCAGGGTCCTGGGATCGAGTCCCACATCGGGCTCCCTGCTCAGCAGGGGAGTCTGCTTCTCCCTCTGCCTCTGCCCCTACTCATGTTCTCTCTCTCGCTCTCAAATAAATAAATCTTTAAAAATAAATAAATAAAAATCAATGCTATGTATATCATAAAAATAAGGTAAGATGATCAGGAGCTGCTTTTTTTTTTTTTAAGATTTTATTTCTTAAATAAATTCAAACTCACAATGCTGAGATCAAGTGTTGCATGCTCTACTGACTGAGCCAGCCAGGCGCCCCATGATCAGGAACTCCTTTTTTTTTTAAAGATTTTATTTATTTATTTGAGAGAATGAGAGAGAGAGAGAGAGAGAGAGAGAGAGAGAGAGAGAGAGAGTTCGAGAAGGGGGAGGGTCAGAGGGAGCAGCAGATTCCCTGCTGAACAGGGAGCCCAGTGTGGGACTCGATCCTGGGACTCTGGGACCATGACCTGAGCTGAACCTGAGTCACTTACCCAACTGAGCCACCCACGTGCCCCAGGAACAACTTCTTCTTTTTTTTAAGATTGTATTTATTTATCTGACAGAGAGAGACACAGCGAGAGAGAGAACACAAGCAGGGGAAGCGGGAGGGAGAAGCAGGAGCCTGACATGGGGCCTGAACCCAGGACTCCAGGATCATGACCTGAGCCAAAGGCAGACACTTAACTGAGCCACCCAGGAGCCCTGGACTTCTTTTTAAAGATTTATCCATTTATTTGAGAGAGACAGAGAGAGAGACCGTGAGCATGTGTGCTCACGAGCAGCAAGAAGGAGCAGAGGGAAAGAAACTCAAGCAGACTCCATGCTCAGCATGGAGCCCAACGTGGGACTTGATCCCACCACCCGAGATAGCAAGCTGAGCTGAAATCAAGAGTTGGATGTCCAACCAACTAAGCCACCCAGGTGCCCCAATGATCAGGAACTTCTTTAAAAAAAAAAAAAAAGATTTATTTGAGAGAGAGTGCAAACTAGCCAGGTACCCCTAGAAGGAACGTCTTAAAGGAGGTTCTCAGGGTAGACAGGAAAGAATTCTCTTGACAAGTTAACATTTTAGTTGACACCTAAATGATGAAGAAGCAATCACGTAAGGTATGGGAGGAAGCATGTTTCAAACAGAGGGAATAACTGGGGTGCCTGGGTGGCTCAGTCAGTTGAGTGTCAGACTCTTGATTTCAGCTCAGGTCATGAGATCAAGCCCCCTGTGGGGCTCCAAGCTCAGAGGGGAGTCTGCTTGGGGTTCTCTCTCTCCCTCTCCGTCTGTCCCCCTTTCTCTAAAATAAATAAACCTTAAAAAAAATTTCCTTCAAACAGAAGGAATAACAAGTGCAAAGCCCTGAGAAAAGGAAAAAAAAATTCTGGCATAATCAAAGAAGAGACAAAAGACCAACCTGTCTGAGGTATTATGAATAAAGGATTATATAAAAAGAGATGAAAAAGCAGAGATTGGGGGCACCTGGGTGGTTCAGTCAGTTAAGCGTCTGCCTTCAGCTCAGGTCATGATCTCTGGGTCTTGGGACAGAGCCACATGTCGGGCTTCCTGCTCAACGAGGAGCCTGCTTCTCCCTCTCCCTCTGCCGCTCCCCCTGCTTGTGCTCTCTAATAAATAAATAAAATCTTAAAAAAAAAAAAACAGAGATTAGGAAGATTTTATAGGGCCTTGCCAGTCTGGGCAAGAAATTTTAGTTGTAATAGTGAGGTATGATTTATCCCCTACAACAACACTAATAGAATTTTCTAAAATGTTCTGGATCTGCTCTGCTCAATCTGGTAGCCACTAGTCACAACTGGCTACTGAGTATCTCAGATGTGCCTAGTGTGACTGAGGACTGTTTTAATTTTTAACTTTATAGTCATATATGGTTGATGGCTACCATACTGGACAGTGCAACTCTAGAAGGACTGCTCTGGCTACACTGTGGAAAATGGATTATAGGGGCACCTGGGTGGCTCAGTTGGTTAAGCAGCTGCCTTCAGCTCAGGTCATGATCCCAGGGTCCAAGGATCAAGTCCCACATCAGGCTCCCTGCTCAGCGAGAAGCTTGCTTCTCCCTCTGCCCCTCCCCCTCCTCGTGCTCTCTCTCTCTCTCTCGCTAGCTCTCTCTCAAATAAAAATCTTAAAAAAAAAAAAAAAAGAAAATGGATTATAATAAAGCCAAGAGTGGAAGCAAGGCAATCTGGACAGAGGTATTACAATAATCCAGAAGAAAAAAAGACCTTGAGAAAAAAGGATAGGTATTAGAGATAGAGTTGATAGTTACCCAACTGGTTCAATAGGAAAAGGTTAAACTCAAGCATAGGTTGTAAATTCACAGAATGAAAAGAACAGTAGTCACCTCTCATTTCTACAATACTAAGAATTGCATTTCCAACAACATTCACTGTAGATATTCCTCCTAAAAATAAATTTCTAGAAATTATTTAATAATTGGCATATAATGGGATAGCAAACTAAGTATTTTAAGCCAGAAAAGCACAGCTTGTTCTTTTCTCCAGTCCGTGATGGCTGTCTATTGAAACAAAAGGGCAAATTAAACATATGGAGACTCTTCAGGGTCTGTATATCCATCTGGGCTGACACGGAGCAGGATGAAGGATCCAAGGAACTTTTGGTCCAACTGAGGATCTAACTTTGTGTTAATACTCAGCCTAATGAAAAGGCAAGTTCTCAAGGTTCTCCAAATGTGGTTCTCCAATGTAAGCACAGTATTTTCTTATTTTTAAAGAAGATTAAAAAAATTTTTTTAAAGATTTTATCTATTTATTTGAGAGAGACTGAGTGAGCATGAGAGAGGAGAGGGTCAGAGGGCGAAGCAGATTCCCTCCCAAGCAGGGAGCCCAATGTGGGACCTGATCCCAGGACTTGAGGATCATGACCTGAGCCAAAGGCAGTTGTTTAACCACTGAGCCACCCAGGCGCCCCCCAAAAAGATTTTATTTTTAAGAGCAGTTTTAGGGGCGCCTGGGTGCTCAGTCAGTTAAGTATCTGACTTTGGCTCAGGTCATGATCCCGGGATCCTGGGATCGAGCCCTGTT